AAAATCGTCTTAGACGATCGCACAACCAGGTTCAGTGGAACTTTTACAACTTATCACAGTATATTTCCCACAACGGATTATGCCAGTGACGTCGACGGTTTGTTGGATGACGTCACTGCTAACGATGAGGACAGCGGGGACGTGACGTCGTCGTCGCATAATGGTGACGTCAATGGAGGAGATGATGTCACACTGATCTCGTCTTAGAGAAAATTTTGGTTCCTGATTTTGGTGACGGTGAATAACAAGATTGACAACTACTAAGCTTGCTCACCAGCATGATAGGGATATATGTATCACGAATGGTAAAAATTACAGCTTTAAATTGTGCAGGGTGTCCCAGAACTCAACGTCAAGTCGAAATGGGGTTTGACAGTCTTGATTGTAGCTATGATAAAAAATATCTTATGTAGTTTGAAAGTTATGAGCTTTTAAGTACAACCTAAAACTTTGGTCAAAGCGTGACCATTTTTTGGTTATTTTTAAGAAGAACTAATTAAAAATCAACTAGAAAAAGTCAAAAATGGACTACTGACGAACAAAATAACTGTCCTGATAAGTAAACTGAATGTTGAACTAGAATTTGAAAAGAGACACTACTGACGAGCAAACTCCTTTTAAACGGAAGAGCAAATAAAGGACTTTACTGACGAGCAAGTTTAATAGATAAAAAAACTGAATTTTTACCCGATGATGAGTTCTTTCTTATAAAGAATTCTCATCAATAGAGTTCTTTTTGTCAAGTTTGCTCAAAAGTAGAGTTTTTTTTTCCACCATCAAGGTTTATTTTTGTCAATTTTGCTTGTCAGTAGAGTTCCTTTTTATCGAGCGTTCTTATTATCAGCAGTTCTTTGTTAACTTTGCTCGTCAGTAGAGTTCTTTCTTTAAAGTCTTTTCGTCAGTTTGCTCGTCAGTAAAGTTCTTTTTTATCAAGTATTCTTATCAGCAGACTTGTTTTTTTGTTAACTTTGCTTATCAGTAGAGTTCTTTTTCATAATCAAGTCTGATCGCGTTCTTTTCGTCAAATTTTATCTTCAGTAGAGTTCTTTCTTATCAAGTCTTTTCATCAATAGAGTTCTTTTTGTCAAGTTTGCTCGTCAGTAGAGTTCTTTTTTCATCAAGTTTGCTCAATAGTAGAGTTCTTTGTTATTATAAGTCTGATCGCGTTCCTTTTTTCAAATTTGCTCTTCGATAGTTTTTTTTCTTATCAAGACTTTTCATCAATAGAGTTCTTTTTGTCAAGTTTGCTCGTCCGTAGAGTTCTTTTCCATCAAGTTTGTTCAACAGTAGAGTTTTTTCTCATCATCAAGATTTATTGTTTGTAAAGATTTTTTCGTAGAATTTGCTGGTCAGCACAGTTTTTTTTTATTAAGTAACCAGAGTTCTTTTGCGTTAATTGCTCGTCAGTAGAGTTCTTTCTTATCAAATCTTCTTAACAATAGAATTTTTTTTGTCAAGTCTGCTCGTCAGTAGAGTTTTTTTTATCAAGTTTTCTCAACAGTAGAGTTCTTTTTAATTAACCAATTAGGTTTCTTTTTGCCAAATTTGCTCCTCAGCAGAGTTCTTTTTTTATTATGTAAACAGTGTTATTTTCGTTAATTTTGCTCGTCAGTAGAATTCATTTTCATCAAATTTACCTACTCAGCGGTACAGTAATTTTTTTTGTTTTTGTATCATCAAGTTCGATTGTCTGTAAAATTTCTTTTTAGTAATTTGCTCGTCAGTAGAGTTCTTTTTCATTAACTTTGCTCGTCAGTAGAGTTCCTTTCTGAAAAAAATGGTCATAGTTTGACAAATCTAGGTTGTAATTAAAAGCTCATTTTTTCAAACTGCACGCATATTTTTTATGATTTGGCTTGACGTTGAGTTCTGGGATACCCTCTACGGTTCGTGATACATATAAACCACAGAGTTCCTATTTCTTATGTAAATTGCATGTTTTTACTCAAACATTTTTAATCATGGTAATTAACAGTGTCATTGCATGTATTTGTAGACTTAAGTTAGTGATTTGCATGTCTTATATATGTTGTGCTATATTTAACCCTTTCGACTCGGATGCCGCCACTCCGGTGGCAAAATTCATATAAATCTCGAAATTCGCGAGTGGAAAAGGTTAAAAGACTAATTGACTGTTTCGCTTTTTAAATTGCCGCAATATACATTTTCTGTCTTTGCTTAAAATTTTATCCTAATGGGTTCTTTTTATTCTTAAAAATATCTCGAAATTAATATTAGCTTTATTTGTAGTACATATCTATGTTTTATATATGTTCCAACTATTCAAATCTAGAATCAATTCCTTTGCCAGTAGAGTTCTATTTTATCACAAAAATTTATACATCTTTAATATCATGCTTGGAGCATCCTTGCCACACTCCACTCTCGTTGATATTTTCATATAAATTATTGTTTAAGTTTTCTAGTGAGCTAAATTTTTGCACCAAATGTCTTCTTTTTTTTCAATTCTTGTATTTATTTAATGTTTTCAAATATTTTATTCAACGTTTCGGGAATTTGGAATATCTATATTCTTCAAAAACTACTGATACATTTAAAAAAATTATTATAAATGTATAAACTTATTTTTATATTGACAAAACTTAAAGAATCTTTACCTTAATGATTACGCAAAATATTATCTATAAATTAAACGATTATTCACACATATCGGAAAGTTCAGACAACTTCCCTTAAGGAAAAATACCACTTACATCTAGTTTGTTCACACAAACTACATTAAAACTGATTAAATTCATTTGTACTAAAAATTTTGAAGTAACGCTCACCATGCGTATCCAAGCCTAAGTAAAAATGTATGAGAAAGCGTTGTGTTAGGTTCGGACGACATGGGAAGCGCACTCATAAAATTTAAACTATTTGTCGAAAATAAGTAATATTCAATTAACATGAAGTAAAATGTGATTGACAAGTATACTCGTCATGCAGAAGCAGCAGAAATTTTTGTATTGACGAGTATATTCGTCATACGTATATATCATTGAAAATTGGCTATTTAAATTTTTGAGAAAAATAAAATATATTATCAAATTTTAGAGAATAGAGGCTATGGCAGTATAAAATGAGTATGTAGTTGTAAGTGCCATTTTGCCTTAAGGCAAGTTGTATGAACTTCCGGAAATAATGGACTTAATCAACAAAAATTGATTAATAATAATTTCAATTCTTACTTTTATATGTTATTCGGTTTTTAATTTAATTCGTATGTAATTATGCTTATGTGAACCAAACAAGTAAAAATTTTCAAATTTGTAAAAAATTATTTCTTACGAGCATGTCCAATTTGCATTTTGAATTAAATATTTCCTCTATTAATATTATTATTTTTTTCAGATGATGAAGGCATAGCCGAGTCCGGCATGTGATATGTGAACGAGTGCTAATATTAATATTTTATCCCTATATTAAATTATTATTAAACAATTTAAACCCAAGACAATGTTTGTGTTGCAAAAAATTGTTTTTAACGAATGGTGATTACTAAATAAGATTTTATTTAAACTTTTAACTTAAACTATTAAGTTTTACGTATGTGAATGGTGGAATAGTTATATATTTCTATATTTATAAACAAAAAATGCAATATGTACTTCATGATATTATATGAGCGAATCGGAAATTGTGTGTGTGTGGTAATTGATTTATGTAGGTGTAAGTGGAAATGTGGATTTTAACACTAAACTGAGAAATAATTTATTAACCAGATTTTCTGGCAAAAACAAACTTCTCCTTGAAGATTTAGTGTTAAAAGTTTTCAATCAATCTATATTGTATATCGATT